ATATCGGTTCTGGTTAGGTTTTACCACCAATGGGGTATGCAAAAAAGCCTCAAAAACTTGGTGTTCAGAGCTTTTCTGACTTCAGAATTGTCCAAAAAGAATTACAGGCATGTGCAAATGGCTCAAATACTAGAAAACATAGTCAACCTACCAGTAATCAAAGACGTACAAATTAAAACAATCAAGGTACCACTATTTGCCTTACAAATTAGCAAATGTGTTTTTCTGAGACAATGCCAACAGTTTGAAAACTGAGTCCTTCGACACTGCTGTGAGAAGTAAACTGGGACAACCTTCAGACCACCGATACTGGTGTCATCAACGGTCTCAAAAAGATCAATACTTTTGACCCCAACACCCCCTTTCCAAGACCTCCTTTTCCATGGACAGCATCGATACCTAGACAAAGCTTTACACATAGACATTCACTGAAACAATTCATTTGAGGGGTGCCTGAGTGGCTCAGCCACTTAAGAGGCTGCCTTCAGCTCAGGTCATGATCTCAGGGTCCTGGGATCGAGCCCTGCGTGGGGCCAGGAGGCAGGCTCCCTGCTCAGTGGGAAGTCTGCTTCCCCCTCTGCCTCTGCCCCTCCCCCCCACTCATGCTCTTTCGCTCTCTCTCAAATAAACAAAATCTTTTTAAAAATTTTCAAAAATAAAACTAATTCATTTGAAAATTCAAATTCAATTAAAAATAACTAGCAACAACTGAAATCTAAAACAGAGTCACAAAATCAGTGAATCCATATAATGAAATATTATGCAGCAATTTTTTTGAGAAGGTAGGGAAATGGAGAGACCTCACATATAATATTCAATGAAAAACACAGGATCGGGGCGCCTGGGTGGCTCAGTGGGTTAAACGTCTGCCTTCGGCTCAGGTCATGATCCCAGGGTCCTGGGATCCAGACCCACATCCATCCTGCTCCCTGCTCTGCGGGGAGCCTGCTTCTCCCTCTCCCTCTGCCGCTCTCCCTGCTTGTGCGCGTTTGCTCTCTCTCTCTCAAGTAAATAAATAAAATCTTTAAAAAAAAAGAAGAAAGAAAAACACAGGATACAACATTATATTTGCATTACGATCCTATCCAAGCAAAAAAATAGAGAGAAAACTAGAAGGAAATACACTAACAGTGGCGAGTGCCTTGGAGTAACAAGACCAAAGGGTAATTGTGTCCCCTTTAAATCTTTAAATCTTTGCAAGAATTTTCCAAAAGGACCAAGAGCACTGTATTTTAGCTGAAGGGAAATGGAAAAAGAAGGCCTGTCTACATAACTCCCAGTCAGTGGCAGCAAATTCATGAATCTCTGAGGTGCCACTCTGGGCTTTTATAAACGTACAATGAACCTGTCTTTGCACAACCACCACCACCTCCAGAATGACAACCTTATAGGGCGTGTGGTCTACATTTATTAGACAATTTGACTGACATTTTAAGTCCAGCCTAATGGACACCATGGGAAAGAAATCCAGAAAGAAACAATACAAAGGATAAGAGATATGCTCACTGGCAGTGGGTAAGGCAGGCAACAATAGGAGCCAGCACATACCCATTTTACAGGTAACAAAACAGAAACATGGACAGCCCCACTCCCCGAAGTGGCAGGGCTTCTCCCTGACTTCCACTCCGGGGCTGTCTTAGAGCTCGGTGCTCTTCCCACTCTATCTTGTCATTAGCCTATTACTTGGTGATTCTTTATAAATATCTTCGAATAAAAAGAAATTTCTCACTAGCAAGAAAACCAAAATGATTTACTAATAATAAGAACGGGCTTCAGAAGCAAACAGATCTGACTCAAGGTCAAAATCCAAGTTAAATATTTGAGTGACTTTTTCAAGTTAACTTCTCAGATACCCGATTTTCTCATCTATAAACACAGAAATAAAACCACATAGCTGACAGGGTGTTGAAGAATCAAATGATCTGAATACTCAGACCAGAGCCTGCCACAAAACAGGTATAATAAACGCTGCATCCTTCCTCCAAAAAGAGTGAAGTGTCTACAATGAACCAACTCCAAATTCCAAGTTTAGTCCTTGTTGGCACACCAGACTCCTTATTCTCCCTACTATCAGGGGCCCACCAAATCTCTACCAATTACTGAAGTGCCCTAAAATAATTAGAAACCACTCAACATAAGAGTTTTAACCAATGACAATTTAAATCATTTTTTGTCAGTTTTAAATAATTTCTCTTTTGTCTTAACATGTAAGTAAGCTTCAACATCAGAGCCAAATTCTTTAAAAAGTAACAATGAAATTTTTGTTTCTATTGCCTGGGGCTTTGGCTGTCTCATTTGAATTCAACTACTGAAACGCCCACATCATCTGTTTGATTAATTTCCTTTGGGGGGGGCAAAAGGGGGAGAAGAGAATGAAAGGCACTTCTCAAATTTTTCATTTCCTCTTTAAATTAGATCTGGGCATGGAAGTCTCAGCTCCCAGGATGCTGGCTCAAAACATTCTGTCCACTGACTATGTTATTATGTGGCTGCACGGCTTGAGTGCTACCTGGCCAAAGGAGAACCCAGAATTTAATAAAGCTTATCTTTAGCATCAGATGAGGAGTAGGAGGCTGGATGGAAGCCCACAAAACCCTAGAAGAGTGCCATTCTCTCTTCAGCACCCCCAAACCTTTTCCACCCACTCCTCTCTAGAAGGCGGTGCCCACTGTCTGGTAGAGAAACTAATAAGCCCAAAGGTTGAGTAACCAGAAACCTTAAGGGCATAAATAAGCCAAGATGTGGAAAATCATCCCTTCTGATGCCTGTGGTATACAGTTTCAAATGCAGCTTCTAAGAGACAGAAGTTTAACGAGATTCTTCTAGCAGGCAGTTAAAGAAAGAGACATTGTCACTACCCACTGTGAAGTTTCCTGTCCTTTTCTCTGCTTCCCAACTTCTGCTAACCACATGCTTACAGTTTTAGGATGTCCTACACTTCTGATCTTAGAATTTCAACAAGACTGCTGAGGTTGATTTCTGTTCTATTTTGTCTCTGGGGAGAAGTGGGGTACAGTAGAGAGAATGAACTTTGGAATCAAGCAGGCTAGGTTATCAAAGATACATATAAAGATACACACACACATACACACACGCTCATCTCCCACTGGTTCTGCTTCTCTGACTGAAGGCTGACTGATACATCAGCTATGTGACTGGGCCAATTATTTAACTGCTCTGGGCCTCAGTTGCCTCACCATAAATAAGAACTTCATAGGGCTTTGAGAAATAAGTATAGAGAAAGCACATTAATCGCCCAATTCAAAGCCTGGCATACAGCAAGCACTCAACGCTACTGCCTATTTCCTTCTTCCTACTTTCCTAAAACATTACCTACAAACATTAATACCGTCATAGATTCCAAGAGGACCAGATGTTAGCTGGTCAGGACATCTTTTCTTCATACAGGCCTCTAGTCACACGGGCACCTTTGTACCCTGTACTCTTTCCTTTTTAGATACTTTGTTCTTCTTCAATGGTAAACTTTCATCAAAAAACGTTGCTCTGCAATTCGAAGAGAACTTTTTTCATCACATTCCAAACCTGAGAGCTGAGAGTTGCTCAGAGATCCATCGAAACACAAACTTAACCCAGGAATGGACATCCCTGGCTGATGGCTGATTATATGCATCCAATGCTGATTTTTTAACAATTTTACTCCCAGGTTAAGCTATTCAAATTCTGGGGCAACTAAGTATGTTCTACAACCCCGAGTCCAATTTGAACCTGATGATTCACCCACTTGTCTCAGCCATGAAACATGGGGTGAAAACCAAAATCTCCCATCCAGTAATACATGTCACTAGCTTCCATTTCCCCAGGAGGGATCATTGAAGGAAATACGGGTCTGCTAATAAAGGCTCAGGAGACATACTCTCCATCCTGTTGCCTTCCTAACATGTTCTGTTTTCTGTGAAAAAGTGAAGGCCAAAGTGATAAGCCAGTTTAAACTGTAAGAGATTCAAATCTTCTCAGGAGTAAAGAGCAGTGTGTGTGTTTGTATGGAGGAGATAGTCACGGTTGGAAGGCTTCCACATGCTTATTATTTGGACGTGAAGAAGAGCCGCTCAAGCTTGGAAGAGCTTGCTGATGTAAGATTCCAGGCTGTGGTAACCCCAATTGGCCAAGAAGGTATGCGTTTATTATTACTATTTAACTAGTGCTGTAAAGTGGCAATTAAGAGGGAAACCAGTGGCAAGGAATCCCTGGGGTCTACAGCCATAAAAAGAGTGTAAGACTGGACTTTCGTAAAAGTTACACGTCTGCTTAGATTTCAATTAAAAACTCCTGCTCCAAATTCGTCATTGAAGACAACACTTTATGGTCTCTGCTGGTGGCTTCCTGCTCTGACCACAGAAGGTTCCTTTGTGGTGACAGGAATTGACTCAAAGAAGAAAAAAAAAATGTTAAGTTTACAAACGTGCCTTCCCTTTTTCTAAGCCTGATTTATCCAGGATATGTGGGGAAGACATCTGAAAGCCCCCAACCTGTTACAAGAATCCATCAACCACTATAATTAATGAAAACTTGGAAAGAAACGGAACTCCCCAAGGTCTTAAAATATAAAACAAAGGTGGGGGGGGAGCTACGACAGCGCACCCGGTCGCCGGTGTCGATCTTCCGCTCGCGGGGCCTTTGAGGACAAGCGCGGCAAGGGGTCCGCGGGGCTCCAAGGTGCTCAGCCTGGCGGGAAGCGCCCCGACGGAAGCCAAGACCAGGCCCAGTCCCTACACCCCGGGCAGCTCAGAGGGGCGGGCTAGGGTTAACAGGTCCTCAGAGGAGCAGGCGAGAGGAGGGAAGGCAGATCCCGGGCAAGCGGGAAGGGAGGGACGGGAGCCGTCGCGCCGCGCCGCACCCGGCCCGGCCACCCTCCAACAGCCAGATGTTCAGCGTCGGGATCCCGCGGCTCTGCCAGGGCAAGGGCAGCTCAGGGCGCAGTGGGGCTGCCGTCCGGACCCCTCGCCTCCTCCCGAGCGCCCAGGCCCCGATGGGACACTCACCCGGGGCCACTAGCGGCGAACTCACGGTGCCTCCCACGAAGACAGCGGCGGCCAGGACCGCGGACCCCGAGAGTTCTCCTGGGGCCATCGCCGCGTTCCTTCGCCCTCCACCCACCCGGCGCCGCGTCCCGGGATCCTGCAGGCAGTGCAGCTCGAGAGCCGGCCGCGGACGCAGTAGCAGGGCTCGGCCCCCGCGCGCTGTGAACCCCGCCCCGTACAGCACTCTTCTCTCCGGCCCCACCTACCCGGCTCTGCCCGGTCTCTCCCCGCCAAACCCTTCGGCTCCGCCTGCCCGGGAGAGAGCCCCACCTGTGTCCCCGCCCTCGTCCCCGCCCATCACGGCCTGGCCCCGCCTCGCCCCGCGGCGCCCGCTTCCTTTCTAAATTCCACCGCCTCTGCCACCGCCCTGATTAGGCCATGACCCCGCCCCTCCTGTCCCGCCCACCGAGGTCCGACCACGCCTCCCTCCGGCAGCCCCGGTCACGCCCACTTCTGCCTGGTCCCGCCTCTTCTCGCCGCGCCCGCCGCGTTTCCGAGTCCCGCTTCAGCGCAGACGCGGGGATTGCGCGGGAGCCAGGCGAGCGGGCAGGGTCTCAGCCCCTCATCCTGCCCTTCGCTGAGAGCAGGCGGGCGGAGGAAGAGGAAGAGAGAGAGCGGGACAGGAAGCTCTAGATGGCCTGACTTGACCATCATTGGAGTGGGCATTAATTCTTTGCTGTCATTTCTATTCAGCTGGCATTCCCCTCCGTGACTGGTCCAGAGAGGGGCGCTGCGCCGTACGCGACGTTTCACTGTTTGAAAATTGAGGAGAAAAGGCAAATCCTTTAAATTTCTTCCTATGTCCGCTTTCCTTTAAGCTGCTCCTTTTGGAAAATAAACCTATACATACCTGCAGGAACAAATTGTTTTGTTTTTTTTTAATCGTGCGCCCACATTGCACTTTGCAAATACTTTCACGAAATAGTTCTTTAGGTACCTCGTCACTTACGATCTCCTTATATCCTCATGTCAGCTCTGTGGGGTGAGTAGTATCCCCATTCCACCGGCCGTTGAGTAAACCCACGGGACACTGTGTTAAACTGGAATTAACTTGTCTTCATGGTGTTTGCTCACTGCTGTGCTCAATGACAACACACACTAAGAGTCAGAAGTGACTTTGAAGTTGAATCATCATGTGCATTGAATAGACAAGAGCCTTTCTGAGTAGTTCCCTCTTTACTGCGCTTGAGAGACCCCTGAAGCCAGGTGGTCAGGCCTTCAGTAAGGCTCAAGATCACAGGCATGGTGAGGGGGGTGAGGTCTGAGGGTTTTCACAGAATGGGGCTCTTCCTTGGTTTGACTGTCATCTTCCAATTTTCAAAAGAAGACTATTTATCTTCTTGTTGAGTCCTGGAAAAACATAGACTCTTAAAAACACTGGCACGGATGTGGGAATCCCCAGAAGCTTGGGCCACTACAGACAGCTGGGGCTGAAGGACGGGAGCCCCTGCCCTTGGAAGCCAAGGGCGGGCACTGTGGGTCCTGTTCAGCTGTGGGCACATCCTGCAGTCTGGCAGGTGAAGCCGTTTTATACCACCCTAAAAACTGAGAATGGCTGCGGAGGGAAAACGTCCATGTAGGTTTCTTAACTTAAAAAAGGAGAGAATCCTGGGCCTAGAAATTAAACTGTAAACTGTAGCCAGAACCAGCTATATAATTTGCAGAGCCTAGTGTCAAATGAAAATGCAGGGCCTTTTGTTCAAAACTTATTAAGAATTTCAGGATGGCAATAGCAGGTGTTAAAGCCGTTATGGAGCCCTGTGTACAGGCCATATACCCATAAAGCCAGCTCAGGTTTTTGGCACTTAGAATGCAGCAAAATGCTTGAACCAAGATATCTATGCAAAATGTAAAATATCATTTGAAAAATGAATCATGTTTCACTCTTTTTTTCAGATTGAACTTACTAGTAAAAAGACAGGACTTTTTTTTTTAGGTAATCTCTACACCCAAACTGGGGCTCAAACCCACAGCCCCAAGATCAAGAGTCGCACACTCCGCCGGCACCCCAAGACAGGGCCATTTTAAACAACATATTTGAATTGGATGTCTACTCATGGCTCTCCAGAAATAAAAATACAACCCTGTAATTAAAGCTGGATGAAACCTTAGTAACCGTCTATCAAGCCCCTTACTTTAGAGATGAGAGATAGTTAAGTGACTTGCCAGATACCTCATACCTAGTATGAACCAGGGTTGAAACCCAAGGCTCTGAAATTTCCCTTCTCAGACTTTTTTGTAACACTTAGCTGTTTGACCCAGTCTCTGTAGATACCTTCCTGTCACATAACCTCATATATGTGCATTTGCACATTCCACTAAAGGGAGGGAGGGCAGGAGGGAGAAAGGGATGAAGGGAGAGATGAAGGAAGGAAAGAAAATCGAGCTTCAGTTATTCTCCAGGTACTTACCACTACAGATTTGCTTGCACAATTTAAAAAGCCATCGTTTGTTTTAGTTCAAATGTGAAGACTTCAATGTGATGGAAGTTTTTTACATTAGGAAGGGGATGTCACATTTCTTCTGAGGAAATAAAAATCGACACCATGAGGCTAAGGGATCTTCCCATTTGTTTCAGAAATAAAATTAAAATATTAAAAGGTAGAAATAGCTGTTAACAATAGCTCTCATTTATTCATCCCTTAGATTTAGCCCCATCCCACAGTTAGCACTTTTCCTGTGTTCCTTCATCAAATCCTCACAACTTGATATTTGGGGAGGTATTGTTACTGCCCTTCACTTCAAAGCTGAGAAGACCAGGATGTGAGGAATTAAGGAATTTACCCAAGTCACCCAAGCTGCTCCATGGTGTTGCTGGGACTCAAATCCAAGATCAGCTCACTGCAGGCCTGCACTTGAACTTCGGCTTATACTGTTCTTCTCCAAAATGCAAAATACAACAAAATACTAGCCAATCAGCTCTCTTTTTCCAATACAAAGTCTTAGTCTGTCTTTACATGCTTAACCTAGCCTTTTTGAACTCTGTGTCAAAAATTACATGTTTTTTTCTTCAAGGAGAGTGTTTATGGGATAGGTTATAAATAAGAGTTTGGAGGAATCAAGTTTACAAACTTAGGCAATGGACTGTCCTTTTCTGTTTTTTGTTGGTTTTTGTTTTGGTTTGTTTTGTTTCCAGTGTCTCTGTAAGAATTCAGTTAATCATTCCCCTTAGTAAAAAACTTTCCTGTTTTCCTCTGTGCCGCTAAGGTGGTGATTTGCATCACCATCATTTAAATGCGTAAGACTCAGTTGGCTGGTATTTACTTTACTTAATGTTGAACAAACTTCCGCAGAAAGTCTCTAGAATTTCTTCCCTCTATGATTTAGATGTAGTCATGTTTCCTTTTGAGAGGTTATATCCAGGAGAAAAGCTGATAATTAAAAAATATATATATGTATATATATAAATGTTTGCAGGGAATAAATGATATTTCATAAAACCTAGGGTTATTTTGATCTGACAGCAAGCATGTACCATGTTTCTAGTACTGGGCTGAGGGTAGGAGGCCAGAGGGGAGAGTCACTGAACATTTAGTAAATGATCAAAGGCCCGGGGGAGGGGGGGTGCCATCCAGCCCTAAGATTCTACGCCATAAGAAGAAATCAACAGAGAGGATGAAGGGTGCCAGAGTCAGGCTAGAAGGAAGGGTTTCTCAAAATTATCAAAACACTATGGGCCAGATAATTCTGTGTTGGGTGACTGTTTTGTGCAGTGTAGGATGTTTAGCAACATTCTCTGCCTCTACAAACTAAACGCCAGTAGTGCTCTTTCCACTACCGCCCCACCCCCAAGTTGTGACAACCAAAAATATCTCCAGAGGGCGCCTGGGTGGCTCAGTTGGTTAAGCGACTGCCTTCGGCTCAGGTCATGACCCTGGAGTCCCAGGATCGAGTCCTGCATCGGGCTCTCTGCTCAGCAGGGAGTCTGCTTCTCCCTCTGACCCACTTCCCTCTCGTGCTCTCTATCTCTCATTCTCTCTCTCTCAAATAAATAAATAAAAAATCATAAAAAAAAAAATCTCCAGATATTACCAAATGTTCCTGGGGGGGGGGACAAAATCGCCCCCTGTGGAGAACCCCTGGACTAGAGGAATTTCAAGAAGACCAAAAGGATTGCAATGGAGGCTCAGAGCAAGGCTTCATGGGGAAGGTACAATTTGGGCTGAGTCTTGGGATTCATGGAGACGTGAGGAAAGTGTATGAGCAAATGTACAGTGAGAGAATTTGCATGGTGTCCGCTGCACAGTGATGAGCATGCATGAGGGAAAGAAGCAGAGAATGGGTTGGCAATAACCGTGGGTCATAGCTGAGCCATAGCCAAGAAAAGGAGAACAGAGAATTTCAAATGCCCAGGAATTGTCATAAATTATAATAAATTATTCTGTCACCAAAATAAATTTTTTTTTAGGGGCAGTGAGAAGAATTTCCATTGTTCAATGAGATTGTTTTCATCCTAAGTCAGGAGCTGCAAATACAGAAGTCCTGATTTTGTCCATGTGCCCGATGTCGGAGGAATCTGATTGCTAGGTGTGCAAGGGTGTTCGTAATCTCTGCTTCCTTTCTGGACCACCACATTCGGAAAATTGGGTGTAAGTGACTTGGGCCCTTTGCTGGTAGAGCTTCAACACCAGGTGGATAGACTTCGACATGGTTGTTCTCCGTAAACAGCAAGAGAGAATTATAGTGAGGAACAGCATGGTTTGGAAAAACCCACAACACACATTTCAGAGGACAGGGTACAAGGTACTTAGGCAAGCTTCCTTTTGATTGCAATCAACAGAAACTTGAACACTAGCTCCGTAAATAGTAAATGTATTAAGAGGGTAAACTCTTTCATGGATATAAAAAGAGTCAGGCCCCAAGTCCTCCAGCACATTGGAACCAGGAGCAGTAAGTAGTAAATGTAGGAGGTAAGGCTCCCTCTCCAGCTCCCTGGGCTACCACATTCTCCTCACTTCTACCTCATAGCAAGTATAAGCTTCCTCTCTGTCTCTCTTTTTGTCTCTGTCTCTCTTCTATCTCTCTCTGGTTTTTATTTCTGTCTCTGTCTGTCTGTCTGTCTGTCTGCCTGTCTCTCTCTGACTCTCTCTGCCATCTGCTGCTTATTACTCATGTATCTTG